GTTCCTTTATTTAAACAATCAAACTAAGAAATAGGTGATGTTATATACCTTTATGCGTCACACAGATTATCTACTAAAGAATATAATGTCTAAGAATATCCCATGATCTCTCAAAGAAGCGTTTCTATAAAATATAAAATAGAAGAAGTTTCTATAAAATAATAAATAAAAGTGTATATTATATTAGTAATAATGTATATTACATTAATGTTTAGCAATTAAGCAATTAACAGTAAAATAGAAATCTTCCCGAATGCGAGGACGAATACCTTTTTCTTCTTTTTTTTCCTTTTTTTCAATAAAATTAAATTTTAGATATATGATTTTAGATATATGATTCAGAATGTAGTAGATTCGCCTCGCATAAGGAAGACTGAATTTTTATAATAAATTATTAAAATTGTCAATTATTACTATTAAGATTAAACTTGTAGAGTGGAGAGTAGAGCTTACGCGGAGTCTTACTGCATTATCTTAAAGAAACAAGCACGAGTATAGGTTCAAACTTTGAGGAAATATTGATTGGTCCTGAAAGAACACTCCCATATTTATTTCCAAAATATAAAAGGAGTTACCAAAAGCAGAAACCTGCAGTCATTTTCATTCAATTCATTCAATTCATTCGAAAGGCAGAAGTAGAAATCTATTCAGTATAGTCGGAAATTAGTTAGATCAAGATGAGACTTATCCTCACGCTTTATCAGAAACACACTCGTATATTTTTTCTTTTCGCATTGTTCTATTTTTCTTATTAAACGAAAATACTGAATTAAATTAATTAAATTAATCAGTTGAAACCTAAATCTCTGCTCTGCATCTCATTCAATTACATACAAGTACGATACATGAGTATCCGAGGAGCTGTTGCGACTGTCGCTGCCAATAGCGTGGCCCCCGTTTTCCGAATTTTCGGAACATTGATAATTCTTTAGTATTACTTCCATGTCTACTAAAGGCAGACGAAGACAGCGAGAGAAGAGATTAAGATTTCAAATAAAATCAGCTCTTATTTCAAATCACGATTCTTTCCCTTATTTCCAAAAATTAGCGCAATTATTAAATCAAAACAAATCGGCAGATTCAATCCGCGAACGCGCTCTCAAGAAATTGGAGATCAATCTCACGTTTCCTAACTACAAGGACATCGAAAAGGCGATCCACGTAGATTCGCCTATAAGCTTCGTAATCTTTTTGGCACCGGGTTCAAGATTACCCTTCCGAATAATTATCCAATACTTCCCAGTGAATGTTCTTAACTGCACAACTTGATTGACTCCGATCACAGGATAAATTGCTTAAAATGCAATGACTCAAAACCGAAGAAAATTTCAACAACGACATACAAAGACATTTGTAATTTATATCAAAAAATAATTCGCATACAATT